AATTTACGATAATTAAGTCTTAAAAACGCACTGTACTCGCGGAAACTTTACGTACACATATACAACATTAACATATAATTAATAACAGTGTATAACTAGGTCGCTCGAGCGGCACCCAAAAGCGCGCTCACCTCATTTGGCCGTCGTAGCAAAAAACCAAACTACCCCCCAATTTCATTATCTTAATTCGAACACGCTTTGCTTTGTATTTCAATCTGTATATTATTTTCACTAAGCAGACAGACAAACATACATCATTAAATAATTTTATTGCTTTTTTAAAATCAAATAGGGTAATCATAGTCCTGTTAAAATGAATAATTATAGGCGCCACAACGAAAACTAGCAAAAAACATCATAATATAATGACCAATTATTACAAATAAGTCAGTCTCATAATAAGGGCCGGCGTACACTAACGGCATGGCATGGCATATTTGAATAATGTCATGGTAACAAATTCAAACATGAACTTTAGCATCTTGAAAATAAGATTTAAAATAACTTGTTTTGTAAAATTCTTTGTCGTGTTGTGGGCGCTGACCCTAAAGATTCTCAACGCGGTACATATTTGCTTCTCACGGTCACACGCGCCCACGCAACGCGACGCGAGAGGCATCGGTGTATTAGCAAGTAAAGTAGTTTCACAGTGTCAAACAAATAATTGCATAAAGACGACCAAAGACGTGTAAACACATTATGTTAGAAAGCAGAGCTATTATTATTTGCTGTCAAAAACTGTTTTTGAATTAAAATTTTTGGTGTTTTTGGACAAAACTAGGGCTGATCTGTGGGGTCTTGTGATTATTCCGATCTGAAAATGTGTTGACAATCTTTAGTTATTATGTAACTAATAAATGTGCCCAAATACGACACACGTCTGCGTCCGTCTAACTAATGGATTATGTATTTCCCAAAAAAGTAGTCGATCAGACGACTATGCCCTGTACGGCCGAAATAATTTATTCATTACGTATGTAGCTATGGAAGCGGCATTCATATCTTTGCGAATTTTACTGAAACAAATAGACTCGAATTGCAAGCTAAGCTACGGAATAAAATTACAGTTTGGCAGAAGTGCCTAAAAAAAGTTAATCTTAACACATAAGTCATACAAAATGAAAGCGGTTGGTTACACATCAAAATAAGGCAATGAAATTTTAAGACTTTATTTTATACACGTATTGCTGAAAGATCCTAGATTCGAATCCCGGATATGCATAATACTTTCCATCTGTCAGAAATTAAGATCTGAATAACTATATTCCCGTAAATATAATGGTTTTAATCAGACATAGAGATGTGTCCGCCTGATGCCTATGGGATATGAGATTACACTAATATCACAAAACAGTCTTTTATAATAGTGTCGGGGCCAGACAAGAGAAATATTTATAATTATTTAACATAACATGGTTAGTTTTGGCTTAAATTCAAGTTTAGTCTCGTTAATGTCTAGGATTATTATATTAATAGTACAGTAGAGGTAACTTATGTACCTTGTTTGTTCTGGAATTCTCAACTCACGCTTACTTAAAATTTTGTCAGTTATGTTTAGTTTTTATCTGTGAACGTTATCCGAATGGAATTCAAATATGCCTACCATTTAAACAGATGTATAGACCAAAAAAAATCCAAAAACATGAACCCGGTGGAATGAAACCCGTGACCCGTTGGTTTTTAGCCGCACATTGCTTTGATTGGAGCAACGACAATAATAATCGTATTATCAATATTATTAATACAATTTTAACACGGGCTGACGTTTCGGATGCTTTGCGGCCGTGGTCTCTGAGGGATTTTAACTAACATATTTTGCGTTGAAACCCGCTAAAAGTGTTTTATTTAAATATATACTACCCGCATTAACTACAGACAATTTAGTCAATGGTCATGATCGATATCCCTACAAGGGAATTACTACAACTTTACAATGGACATAATCTACATAGATTATAGAGATAGCTCTATATTTTACTCTAGTACTTTATGATCAGCAAATTGCACGCTTGTCTGTATCCAGTGACCCATCTAATCAAGGCATCCCTTTGTTATTAACAAAGGTACTGCAACCTTGTATTATCCTGTTTTTTATTCCTTTATTTACAGACTTAAATGTTTAAAAGTTTAAGTACGGTAAGTTTCTGTTACCATAAAGTAATTCAGTTGGATATTTCGAGTTGACCTTTTGAGGGAGGTCTATGAATTAAGGCGAAGAAATGCGATGATAGCGTGTTGGACGCTTAGGTTAGTTAGAGCAACAGCACGGAACACTGTGGATGCCAGTTCAAGTCCGGAACGTGTCGTTTCGTTTTCAATTTATAATCCATTTTTAACTGTTTTTTTCAACAATTTTAAAGCCTTAATTGGTTTCTTAATTAGTTTTTAATTTTATTAATTGGTACAGTGGTCTAGTCATTTACAACGTGTATTTATTAACTGAAATTAATAATTATAAATATTATAGAATTTCAAAAGCAGTAAAAATAAATCTATGAAATTTTACCTATTAATATTAATTTTATATAGATTAAGCGATTATTTAGCAGATTTTTTATTGAAAGGAAGCGCCCCGCTTAGCACGTTGCTAGCGGACGTAATTAACGGTGTCAATAAATACGTCTATAGTTTTGCTTTATTTATTTATTTGCTTTTTTAATAAGGCTTATAAAAATACAGTTAACTTTTTTTTTAAAAATTATATGACAAAGTCAACTAGTAATCATATATATTTCATATATAACGTATGTCTCAAAAACTGAATTAAATAGCTGTTATATTTGCTTTTAAGTTATAAAATTTAAGATCATATCTCAAATAATAATTAACATAAACTTTGTTTATCGATATCACGACACAAAGTTATTGTAGGTTCTAGTATGAGTCAGAACGACGAAAGGCCGAGTGGGTTTTCTTATTATGTTATTTAGTGTGTGTTTATAACACCAATTATAAACTACAACATATATTAGTTTTAAGTTAGATCTTAATTATATATGAGTTTTTAATACACTATTTACGTTTCAATTAATTTTTAGTGATTACTTAGTAAAGATAAATGCATCTTAAAGACAATAGAAGTATAAGTTTTTGTATAAGAATTTAAACGTATAATTATACTATGCTACGAGCATGAACGATTAAAGAGTATAAAAATGACAATTTAAAAATAGGTATAGCGAAAGGGTGAAGTTTTTGAGTTGTATATATTATGTAATATCACAGTAAAAAAAAACACTGTTCGAAAAATAAATAAACATCTTAGGGCTGGAGAACGCTTGCAAGATAATGGCGTGCAAAATATAAAGTACTTACTTTGTGACAAAGGATACAATAGATTTAATGTGCGGGAGTAATACTTACAAAAAAATACCGGTTAAAAACATGATTTAACCTATAAAATATACTCAAAACTGCAAAGCATTCCAAATGTCGTACTTAGAAATAAATTAAGATATATAGTTAAATAAAACACTTTAAAGGTTTAAAACGCGATATATTAATTAAACTTATTTGAAAATGATTTTTAACTTCGGCCCGACGTTTCGGATTCTTTGCAGCAGCCGTGGTCACGAGGAGACTCGCGTTTTAAACCGTTAAAGTGTTTTATTTAAATGTATACTACTCGCGTAAACTATAGACAGTATTTAAGTAAAAGTGGATCATAGCTACAATTCGAAATGTAGGATCGTAATTTAATTAATAATAAATACATTTCGCGTTCGAAACAGTTAAGAGCGTAAATATATAAATTGCGTAAATCCGAGTCAATCTTGCGATGGTTAATAGAATGCGCGTGTATTAACTTGTGCGTGGGTGAACATGTTCTCGGGCGCACCAACAAATTACGTTTACCTGGCGGTCTTTGCTCACCTAGATGCTGATATAACACGAACGCGAAGCAATGGACGTCGGCTAATTGGTTATTTCTGGGCTTAAGGACTTACCACGACCTCGAAAATTCGCTCGGCGTAAACATTTGTTGACTTGATTAACTTACATTTATAATCTGACTACTTCTACATGCCTACAATCTTGTAGTAACCCGGACTTCAGGTTTTTTAATCATAGTACTCGATCTCTAATCTAATACTCGAAAGAAGACGCAGACCACGAATGCTGGAAGGCATTCGATAGGTCGGGCCTAAGTAAATAAATTAAAAAATGATTTTATATTGAAAAAAAAAAACTTTTCAATTGGAGTAAGCTTTACCAATTGAAAACAACATGTGAAAAATATTAAAATTTCAAATTGTAAATAAATTAACTAATACATTTCTATTATATACTATATATTACATAACTATATATGAACTCCACCGTCATAAATTATAAGTACATCCATTGTCTCAAAATAATATTGCAAAAATCGACCATTCGCAGAGAGAGGTATATTTATATACATATTATGTTTTTTATCTAAGATATTAAAAAGCGGTGGACCGTATTTAGAAACATTATAAAGTTGAAGAATATGATTATTTGTTTGTTTGAACGTGCTTATCTCAGGAACTACTTGAATTAAAAACATGTATCTTTTTATTGACCATTTATCAAAAAAAGGCTTTAGGCTATATATCATCAGGTCGTGACCAATAAAAGAGAAAAAACAGTGGAAATTGTGGAACAAACGGGGAAAATTATTCATCTTTGATGGCTTCCGTTGAGTGCCCTACGAAACGAAGAAATATGTATGAGTGTTAAAAAAAAATCCGCGATATTATATGTCTATCTATTAAGATTAACTAGCAAGAACGACGGGAAGGGATGCGACCGACACCGTCGGTAACAGATTGAGTTTATAAAGATGATACAACTAATATTAAATAATATTAGAAATACAAATTATTACTACGTCGTTATCAGAGTGTAGTAAAATGATTATTCTGTTATCAGTTTAGCGTCATAACATCGCACAATCGTTAAGGAAAAACTTTGTTTCTAAAATCGAGATACGAACACAGTTTCCGCGTAGCCGTCATTGCTCTAGGAGTTCGATCATGTTCTTCTCGGATGAGTACAAAGATGGCGTTTTTTACGGTGACCAGAACTTCAGTATACCATATCATATGAACTATGGTGCTTTTGTTTTGGAGAAATTTCTCAAATATAAGGACAAAGTTGCTTTGGTAAGTTATTGTGGATTAAAAATCGATTATAGATTTTAAAAAATTACGACTCCGGCAGGACTTGAACCGGCATCCGCAGCGTTCTGTGCTGTTGCTCTAAACAATTGAGCTACGGTGCCGTGATCGTAAAAAAAATTTCAACCTATTGCGCGAGAGGTGCATATCAATACGACTTGTAAGTTTTTACAATTTATAATCGATTTTTAATTTACATAACGCAAACATGTGCATGTGCAAAGATGTGAAAAATAATATATGGGTGATCGCGGATTCAATTCCAATTTCGTACTTCCAACTTCTTTTATATAATTATAAGTATTGTACATTTCCTCGCGTTCCTACTTTTTTTTAACAGTAAGGATAACAATATAAATAGTAATCTATTTATGACATAAATAAATGAAAAATCAAAGATACTTGTAATTCTTATTGCGTATTTAATTATATAGTTAAGTCAGTGTTTGTTACAAATAAGTACCTACACTGTATCACTTTGAAAACAAAATAAACTAAGCAGCAGCCGTGGTCACGAGGAGACAGAGCATCCGAAATGTCGGGCCGTAGTTAAAAATAATTTTCAAACAAGTTTAACTAAAATATATCGCGCTTTAAACCGTTAAAGTGTTTTATTTAAATTTATACAGTTGAACAGGAGGTTAAAAATAAAATTCAAATCTTATTAATACCGCAGATAAACGGAGACACAAATGAGCAGATCACATTCGGGGATCTGGCCCAGAAAATAGTCAACACAACAACTTTCCTCACTCAGTTGGGTGTGCAGACCGAGGATGTGGTAGCGGTATGCAGTGAAAACAGAATTGAATTCCTAATTGCTGCATGTGCTGTATTTTGCGTCGGTGCTACTGTAACATTCTTAAACATTTCGTATGGTGAAAGTGAGTTCATTTGATACTTATTTAATTAGAAGTTTTAGGTTATTACTTAGTATGTCTAAAAACCGGCGCTACTGCTGTATCCATACACTGTGGTCAGCCCGTTCCATTGTTTAATTTTATATATTTATTTAGTCTTTATATTGTATGCTTTTGTGTGAGAATTTTATTTTATTTTATATTCTTTTAAAGACACATACAATTTAATTATTTGAAAACATTAATATTTTTTACATGTTATTGCACATGAAGGCACTATATAATTTAAAACTCGAAAATAAATTGAAAAAAACTTCGACTCGGGCAGGACTTGAACCGACATCGTCAGGTCGACATCGGTACTCGAGTGGTAGAGCATTAAGTAGGGACTTAAAAATAAATTTAACTATATTTTATTTTTATGTACCTATTTTTAAATAAAACACTCTTAATGGTTAAAACGCAAATTTATTTTTTTATGTAATTTATCAACGCTCCCCCCGTGACCATGGATGCTGCAACAGCATCCCAAAAAGTGAAGCCGTAGTTAAAATTTCTTACACAGTTCTCACCGAAGCTGTAAACTTAATCAAGCACATAAAAAAGAGTCTTCTAGAGGCAGAGTGGCCTAACTACAAAAAATATAATTTGTACTAGTATTACTGTAAGAATTATGGTAATTATTTTCGGTCACTGTACCCTTGTAGATTTACAATATTAAAACACTTTAACGGTTTAAAACACGATATATTAGTTAAACTTATTTGAAAATGATTTTTAACTTGGGCCCGACGTTTCGGATGCTTTGCAACAGCCGTGACCACGGCTGAACCAAAGAATCGCGTTTTAAACCGTTAAAGTGTTTTATTTAAATGTGTACTACTCGCGTAGTATTTAATTAACAATATTAGACAATGAAAATATAAATAACTTAAGTCATAAAATTTCAGTTAGGATACTCTGCCTCTCCTGTCCTCATATACTCGTTTATGTGCGCTGACGTGTTTAAATAACAATATCATTGTTCCAGATGAAATGAACCACGCCGTGAACATATCGAAGCCAAAATACATTTTCCTCTCCGGCTCTGCGTCTGACAGTCACTATGAAAATTTAAAGAAGCATAATATGATAAGAAAATATATATTTTTCGACAATCCACCGGCAAAGCAACAAAATGTAATATCCTTTAGGGATCTAGCGGACGAGAATATAGATTTAAAATCTTTTAAACCTGTTCATTTTCAAGGTATAACCATATAATCAGTAGTTTATACTCTTATATGAGTTTAAGACAAGGATAAAGATGCGGTCCATCAACAACATTTAATTAAGATGGGCTATCGACCTATATTAGTTTTGGACACGTTTCCACTGTGTCTATGGTGTGGAAATTCTGTATACATTCCTCTAAAACAATTTGCAAACAAGGAGATACAACTTTTATGTTCTACTTGGTATCATTGTTACATTGGACATCGAACCCAGGTCTGAATTCTTATATGGCGATAGGTAATGTCCTTAAATTTTGTATCACATTGTCTTTGTAATGAGATTACTGAGAGAAAACTGTCTCCTTGGAATAGTGACTACGAAAGCCTTATATATATTAGAAATGTCCCACCCTATCTTTTCTAGGACGAATTATGACGTGCATGATATTATACTCCTCTGGAACGACAGGACCCGCAAAGGGGGCGAAGCTTTCAAATTTAAATTATATCATCGCGAGCCAACAACCGCAGTGAGTATTGTGTGGCCATGAAAAGGTTTTCCACTTCTCATACGTTACCCTTTTCACAACTTAATTACTTCCTCTTCAATGTATTCTAAACTTTGATGAATCAGTGATTGTCCTTTTTTAATTAAAACGAATCCTTGTTTCATTCATGCATACTATGTTCAAGTAGCTGACCTGGCTTTGTTATATACGCCATTTCTAGATAATATTTTGGTAGAAGTGCGTGAGAATATATTTTTAATGAATATACGAAATTTCACTAAAACAAGTTCAGTCGTTTTCAAGGACTTCGCGAACAAACACATACACAGGAGGTAGTTATATAAGTATTAGGGAATAATATTTATTATTTAATTTGTTATTACTATTTTCAACAGACCTACAGAACGCGATCTGACAATGCTTACAATAGCTCCATGGTGTAGCACTATGGGAATAGTGACGACGTTGCAAGGTTTGATTTTCGGCAAAAAAATCGTTTACCAATCAAGGTTTAACGAGAGAGCCTATTTGCGAGCTATTGAGAAGTATAAGGTACGGTAACAAAACCTTCACTTAATCATAACAAAAAAATCACCTAGATGCGATCTTTCGTTTAATGGTACCAACATATGGTAATCAACGGGCTGTAAGTTCGAACCCAATGGAACAAAAAAAGGAAAAGAAATTTATAAATTTAATGAAATGAATTCGACACGGGCAGGACTTGAACCGGCATCTACAGCGTTCCGTGCTGTTGCTCTAACCAATTGAGCTACCGTCTAAAACACACTAGCATACTACAAAGAAATAATATTTAGGCAATCTTGGAAAAACAGGGTGTTGTTACTAACATTATATGACCATATAAGACGTCATGGGTGCCCTTCGCCTACTCCCTTGTCTGTCAAAGTGTTTGAGACTTAAATTTCGTCTTCAACAATATCTCTACATATGTCTTGAAGTCGAATATATTTGCGTCAGATGTAAAGAATTAATTAACATTTATAATTTGTTTTATTATTGGATATTAGTTAATATTTGTAATTAACTTAATTTCTATATTGCATACAAGTTTAGTAAAATCTTTAAAGAGGCTAAAGATTATTATGTGAATATTGATGCAATAATTAGTATAATTATTTTCAGGTAGGTTACGCGATAGTGGCGCCACCTGTGCTAGTAATACTGTGCAAGTCGAAAGTAGCTAATGAATATGACTTGAGTTCACTAGAAGTAGTTACCAGCGGAGGAGCCACGACAAACATAGAGGTCTTAAATGAACTCAAAGCGAGGTGGGTTAGTTTTAGATCTTAAAACCAAAATTGGTCAGCGTGTTTAATTAGATACCCCACCCTATCCTACCTATCTCCTACATTTACACAAACCTTTGACGCGAGTTCTAAAGATACTTAGTTTATTTTATTTGATAATGATTTTTCGGTTTATGTATGTAGGTATATCTATGTCCTAGTTTACGGTCTTACGACGTCGACAAGTAAACATCGATTACCGATTTAATTTATTATTCTTAGACATATTTCTGTGTCTGTTTTACTACAGTAATTTTCAAGCTAACTCTAGAAGATTAAAAATTGTGGTTTCTTAACCGTCAATCTAAGAAGCAAATTGTTAATTAAAACCATATTTTATTCAATGTATAGTTTATTAAATATGTAAGCGAAAAATTGTCATACTACTAATACCCACAGCTGGAACTCTTACCAGCAACAGTTAACATTTAAATAAAACACTTTTGACCGTTCAAAACTCGAAATACATTAGTTAACTTATTTACAATTTATTCTAACAACGCCCTGCATTCGGATGCTTTGCAGTCAACGTCGTCGTGATCAGTAGTTTCCCGTGACCGCAGTTGTCGCAAAGGATCAGAAACGTCAGTCCGTAGTTAGAATTGTGAATAAGTCAACGACTATTTTTCGCGTTTTAAACCGTTAAGCTTTATTGCCTTGAAGATAATTCATATAATTGTGATTTCAATAGGTATCCATCTATAAAATGTGTTATACAAGGATATGGTATGACCGAAGCGACAGGTGCTGTTACTAATGACTTTGAGAAGAGCTTTAAGGAAGGAAGTGTGGGAAAGCCAGTACCAGGAATTATTGCAAAGGTTATCAATATCTATGGGAATACTGTTACATCTAATACTTAAAAAATCAAGGACTGATTTGTTAAAAGAACTGAAAATTTGATGACCTAGTTGGTCCAATGATAGAAATGCCAGACTTCTAGTAAACGGACATTAGGTTCGATTTTCACCAAATCCGACATTTTAAATTTCTAATAAAATAAATTTCGCTAAGAAAATGTTAATATTAATATTAAACCGTCTAGGTCACGAATAGTCCACAGATAGAACTATCTAAGCCAATATAGGTAGACAACACATCGTGTATAAATTTTATATGACCTGTCCTCTCAAATCTTGAGAAAATATCTCTTGTAAAAATATGTTTTAATATTTACGCTGTATTTTATTTTAACTTTATTGGCAGATTTTTTTAAATGTAGGTGTTTATAAGCAAGTGACGTCGTCATAAACCAACCAAGAAACTATGACAATTGTCTTCCTATATTAGACGAATAATACAAAAGCACATCTTTCTTTGAATGTGTTCACACTAACGTGTATTTCAGATAGTTGACCCGGATTCTGGTAAGGTGTTGGGTTGTCGAGAACCGGGTGAAGTATGCATCAAAGGACCAGTTCTCTTCGAGGGATATATAGGCATGGATTTAGATAAGGACTTGTATCCAGGCGGTTTTTATAGAACGGGAGACATAGGGTACTATGATGAGGACGGGTACTTCTACATAGTTGACAGGATCAAGGAGCTGATTAAATATAATGCATGGCAGGTGAAAAAAAATATTCGTGTATTGAGCAATGTATACCAATTATAGCAAGTATAAAAGAGCTTGTTGGTTCTACTTGTTGGGTTCGGTCCCCACCTGGTCCATCGTTTTAATAATAAATTTTTATATTTTATAATTTTTTGACACATGTTGGACTTTATATGAAAATTCTGGTATCAAATGAGTTTGAGTTTGAAATGGGGTTGGAAATATAAATTTCGTCCCGGTCACGAATTCACGTCCACAGGTGAAAGCCACCAAATTTAATAGCGTTTCGGTAGAATGCTTAATAAATCTTTTTTTCTTAATATTTATTTTTTATTCCAAGGTATCACCAACGGAAATAGAGGCAATTCTACTTAAACACAAGGATGTAAAGGACGCAGGAGTCACTGGCACACCAGACCAATTAGCTGGAGAACTACCAACCGCTTTAATCGTTCGGCAACAAAATTCACAAATTACAGAGAAGGACGTAATAGAATTCGTAGATACAAAGGTAAGCTTATATTCCTGCAACATATCTGAAACGTACTGACATAAAATTAATTAACTGATATATAGCGCGTTTTAAACAGTTAAAAGTATTTTATGCTTGCGTTTACAGACAACATTAACGTATCTTTTAAGAATCGGCAGAGTCATTCTTTCATAGTAATTTAGACATTCTTTTAACTATTATTGTAGGTTTTTTCTTATTAAGATAAATTAATAAGAAAAAACGGTATAATTTCTCAGACTATTTTTTCATCATATTGTTTAACTTTAAAACTTACTTCACACTTGAATCAACCAAATATCTAGAAACAACTAAAAATCAATCAAAAATGTATCCTTCTATTTTTAAATAACAAATCCATGCAATCTTTTAAAACCTTTTGCATTCTGCAGGTAGCGCCATGGAAGAAGCTCCGCGGAGGTGTTATATTTGTCGACGAAATACCAAAGAACCCGAGTGGAAAAATTCTGAGACGGAAACTCAAGGAATTAATATCCGAATCGAGGACAAGAAAAGTGACCAGCAAGTTATAAAATTAAGTTTGAACAGAACGAATTCTTTAAACGTTGATAAAGGATGTTTTTATTTATTAAAAAGACGATTATTATATACAATTGCCTTTAACTTAAACCCGTTTTCAAAGTTTACACTCATCTGCAAGTTTTGTAACAACGATATACAATTAATAAAATACAAAGTCTATGGGTAAAACAAATATTTATCCTTTTCAGTAGATCGTATAAAAAAATATATGATATAGTCTAGTTTCCCGCGCTTGGGGCTTAGGGCAAAGACAAGTCCGTGTCTAATTTATTGAACCACAGAGTCAGTTTTTAAATCACTAATAATAACATAACTGTCAGAGTTGTACGTCACAGATTATATACATATTTTTAGTCTAGTGTGTCTGATTTCTCGTTTCTCCTGTGGGTTAAGGGGTGAACAAATTTCTGTATCTGTCTATTACTATCGATTATTACAAGCAATTAATTACTTCTGTGCCCATAAACGATTTTTATCCAGCATTGAAGCCAAGAACTCTCGTGCTTAATATCAGGTGAGAAAAAGTTTTACTATTCGGAGGGGATTGTAATTATGTGGAAATAAAATTTGTTTCTTAAAAGAGGCCAAAAAATATTCTTGAAAGAACATCTTGGAACTAAAATGTAGTAATCTAGCAATCTAGAAAGCTAGACACGCCACTTTCTTTTTTATATCCTTGCAATTATGCACTTTAATAGCTTAGACCTCAAAGAGGATGGAGACAGCTGTATCATAATTACAGTACACCACGCAATGTGTATCAACAACTTGTAATACCCGGGTAAAGAAAATAATTAGTTTTAACAAGAATATTTAATGCTAGGCTTTGACGGTCAATAAATTACAGTCTAGTTTGTGTCGCTGTCTTTAGACAGGCTAGAATTTAAAAAGGAACACGAATAGAGTCTATTAATATATAATTTATTGCACCACCTTGGTATAATTTAAAGGTGCATAGTATTAGAACATAAAATGAGAAAGGGTACATAAAATGGGGAAAGATATTTTATATATAATATAAGTATATGTAGTTTAATCATAGAAGTATTTACGACAAATTTTAAATGTGTATATTTTTAAATAACCTAATGGTAAATAACGGTAATAAAACCTGTTAATTAAAAAAATGTTTTCAAACGGGTACGAAGTACGAACGATATTTATTTTAATGTAATTTAATTAAAAGCATGCCTCACATTAGCTCATATCAATGTCAAAGTTAAAATGACATATATATTTCCAATTCCACGGCTACTTAAAACGTTGACATCTCAGGCCGTAGTCAAAAATAGACTATTTAAATAAAACACTTTAACGGTTTAAAACGCGATATATTAGGTAAACTATAGACAGTATTTAAAAATAAACTAGTAATATATCACGTTTTAAAGCGTTAAAAGTGTTTTGTTTAAATGTGTCTCACGAAATCTCTAAGTTAACATATTCTCTTTGATATACAAATAACGTACCATATATTTAGAGAGATAGAAAATTGTTAATTGCAAAAAAAAACGATAATCTTGAAACAAACTCTTAGGACTAAAATTTTGTGGCATGTGGACTTAGCTGAATTCTGCAAGGATAAGGGGAAATTGTACAGCGTTATTTTTTTCGGTCGGTCCCATTGGCCGGTGTTTCTAAGTTAAAAATAATATGAAATAAAATTTAAAAAAAAAGTTTTAATATTATTATTGATAATTTCAAAAATAAGCAAATTTGTAAATAAACAAGCTAATCTTCTACCATTTTTGGCGCGTGTGACTGCGTACTTAACGGGTAAAATCCATAGAAAGTTCTGATTACGCGAGACTGTTTAACTAAGTCCAATTAACACGTATGGGAGTATGATAGCGCCGGCACAGTTGGATCGATCAAACATAACACACTGACCGCAATCTTTCGTGTTTAATCAATCCGGGTGCGATGTAAATCGAGATTGGTTTCGTTCAACTCTACTCGTTCAAAGTTTATTGTCACTCTTTAGTTCAAACAATGCAAATAATTCTACTAGTTAGGCTAATGTTTGCACACTTGTCAATACGTTTGATAAGACATGATAATGTAAAGTCGAAGAGTTTGTTTGAACGCGCTAATCTCAAGGACTACTGGTTCGAATTGAGAAATAATTTTTGAGTCTGTTGGACCATTTATCGATGCAGGCACATGCTATCTAGGAGTCTCTTTAAATGACCAAACAAAAATTCCGTGACATTTTATGACTATCTTTTAAGATTAACACGCAAGTGCGACGGGACGCGGACAATATCGTGGGTATCAGCTAGTTTAATATTAATTTCTTTTATGTCATTTTAAAATCAAATCTATAATCTAAAATTATATAGTGCCTTCATGTGCAATATATAAAAAAAATAATAAAGTTTTATTAAAATAAAACTTTATTATTTTTTGTCGTCATAACAAGTCGTCTTACATTCAATTAAGATTTTAGCAATAGCGTAATATAATTATACGTTAGTATCACAAAGACATAAAACGGTAAAAATATTGTTACATGTAATAATCATATGGCAACTAGGTTTAATACTCTAAGTACATACCTCCGGTGCATTCCTGGCTTTACACTATCATTGTGACGTGTCAATCTGTATTGTAATTGGGAATAAATGGCGCCCATGTACGAAGGAATACACATACGTCATCACATAGTACACTGATATTAAGATATATTAAAAAAAACGTACTGGATTCGCGCAAGCTATATTAAGCCACACAAAAAAAACACCCGCAGACGTTAAATCTTTTATTCTTAATTCACAGAAACATATATGTAATTAAAAAATTATCACAACTAACTCGCACGAACGCCACTCATAGCGCTGACGCGCGCGCTGACCTCGTTCGGCCGCCGTATCGAAAAAACTAAACTACCCCCCAATTTCATTCCGAACGTTTGTAATTCAATAAATAATGCGAATTGTAAGCCAGTTTTTGCGCTCATTTCACTGACGCTTTTACTATAATAATTAACTGTCTATAGTACGTAGTTATAATTTTTAGTAATTATTGTTATCTATAATAAGGCATAGTTAGAAACTTTTATGTAATAGTAATTAATTTTTTAGTATGAGATTCAATTGATCCATCTCTGCCCGTCTGAAAACAGATATTATTGCCTAAGGATTCGACCCCAGGACTATTTTCATATTATTTTATCATATCACTAACTAAGATCATATAACTGAAAAATAAATTATTAAAAACAAAAGAATAAAGTTAATCTAAATGAATAACATTCCGTAAATAAAACACTATTTACGGTCTAAAATGCGAAATAAACAAGTTAACTTTAACAATATAAGTTAAGTGTAGATAAGTTAACTAATGTACATATTTCTCGTAATATTTAAATGTGTACTCGTAGACTACAGACAATACAAACTTTACCTAGCTTAAGCCTCAATTGTAAATTATAAACATTGCTCGAAAGCAGTGGTTATTTGAGCAAATTAGGTATTATTACGTAAAGACACAATGGGCGGTATAATGATGGGATCGTTAGTGGCAGGCCAAATTGCACGCTGTAGATAGAGCCAATATCCACCCACTGCTTAACTTGAACAATGACAAGTTGATTTGGAACGGCCCGTCTAGCTTAACTTGTTTTGTCAAAACCAATACGTTTGTTATCCCTGACTTTATGCAAAGCGCCTAAAATATAACAGAATTATAATCTTCGAACTCCGTGTGTAGTTTACGCGAGTAGTTCACATTTTAGAAAACACTTTGACGGTTTAAAACATGATTTATAGCAGCTGAAACGTAAGCTGTAGCTAGAATTATTTTCAATTCAGTTTAACTAATATATATCGCGTTAAAGTGCTTTAAACTGTTAAATGTTTTATTTAAATTATCATAAACTTAGTATACAATTATAGACATAGGTACAAAGAGAATTTCTGAATTTTTATGAAATTAAAAAAAAATCGCCAAACATTCTACAAAATTAATCTGTCGTTTAAATTATAGTAATTTAAAAGATAGCTAATAAACATTAGTTTGATTGTTAGTAGTAGATAAGTAGTGTGCCCTTGTGATACAAACCATCCTAAATCAAAGATATAGGTATGTAAATAAGAAACAATGAAATTAGATTTCAATGCCAACCAGTTCTAGTTATCCTTATATTACTGAAATCATTTTTTTAAAGCTTCCGCTAAATACTTGTCAATATTATATAATTATCTTTTTTTACTGTATATAGTTAGTTTATTTACGGAGTTAAGTTGGTAAGTGAGTGAGAAACGAGTGAAAGGATATGAAAGATACAGGTCATCAAGGAGCAGAAGTCGATTACTTTGCTGTAAATAAAATCGTCTGTAAAAGACACACAAACGCCGTAGTTAAAATAAAGGAGTTAACTAATAAAACTACGTTATTTAATTGAGAAATAGCATTTTAAATTAAATAATGAAATCGCTGTTATCGAATCTACGACCATAGAGATATGGTGTTGGACGCTGGGTTAAGATCTACAGATACCTTCTTTTAAACTAAAGCACATTTAAAAGCCTATTTGATGCATATCTGTAACTGTGAGTGCATTCACCATCATTCGGAAAAGCGTGGGCTCGTTGTAAATTACATTGCGCATTTATTACCTGTGTACACTTAAGCATAGCATAACAAAGCGAGCAAAATTTACCTCTTAACGCCGCATTCACTCTGTCCAAATCGTACAGCGACAGTGGAAGTGGCTCGTACAGAAGCCGCATCCGTGGCCTCCGTCCAAAACTCTCATAAAAACCGTCGCTCAGAAATATACCAGAAGAATGCCGGTATAGCTTGTACGCGCACTTATGCCTAGGCCAGTCCACGAACACAATGCCCCCATTCAGCGTCCGTTCGTCCCCGGCGAAGACGTGACTTTTCAGCTCTCGAACGTCCCCCTTCATTACAAGTCGAATGTACAACTTGTAGGATATATTTATTCTCGCGTTGGGCTTGCCCCGTCTTATCTTAGTGACGCTTAGCACGCGCGCTGTGAAAATGTATTTAGATTCAGACACCGCTGAAGACAGAATCTCGTAGTCATTATTTAGCGTCTCGTTGAAAACACATTTGGATATATTTTTGTGTTTTCTACCGTGGATGATACTGCGTTTAGCAGCCTGGCTGTGACTGCAAACATTGTGGTTATACAACAATAACACAAGGTAAATTAATACGTTCATTTTGTTATTATACATCAGAATGTGTTCGAATAAAGATCCATTTTAATTATCTGTCAACGAGATACGATACACGAGGTGCAATCGCCAAGTTGCGTCACGAACCCCGCCACAGAGACGCCTGCGCTCGCGCAAGCCCGCGCGTGTACTGTGCGCCTCGCAATTCTATGCAACCTTCGAAAACGTAAACAAACGTGAACTTACGTTGTGCTACGGTAGTCGAAACAAACTACTGTAATATAAAAAGGGAGCTTAGTTTCATTTAAATTAATGATAATAATCATTAAGTATTTAAAAATACAAAATATAAACTAATTTTACTTAAAAACACAAATCCATACTAATATAATATAAACTGAAGCGTGTGTTGGTTAGTTTGAACGCGCTAATCTCAAGAAGTTCTTTTTGTGTTGGTTAGACTATATTCATGGATGAAGGCTTATATAACATCAGGCTTTTATACTTATAGGGTCGAAGAAGTATAATTAAATGTGGAAAAAACAGGGAGAACTCCTAAAACAGGAGCCACTCCACATAACTTTACGAACACGCTTGTGTGGCAACACTGTTTTTCAGTGGCCCCTGGCGCTGACGCTCCCAGAGTAACAACTTACAAATATGTGTTAAAAACTATTACACAACTAAAATAACAACTAATGCGACGACCAAATCCTATTCATCAATTAACATTTAACGTGAAACATAAAATTAACAAGAAGAAAATTGTGAACAATCTATTATCTCCTCTTTCTTCTCCTACAAATCAAACAAGGCCAGAAGTTTCTCGAATTTCCCACGTAGAGTTTAATGCATTCGTTTTTTTTAAATATTGCTATCTACTGTGCAGCGTCATGGGTCAACGGAGGCACAATAGCCGGAGGGTAGGAGATAATACAGAGCACTATATGGGCCAAGTTAATAGTTATTGCCGAACGAGTCGCCTTACTGCGCCCTGAATATTCATGCAGTGGAGGCGGGCGCGGGATAACTACTTTTACCGCAACAACTATCCATACACCGTCGTAAAACGGCTTCAACAAATTGTTGAGCTAACTACGAAAACTACTTCCAATTTTTGTACAACCGTACTAGAACTTCACTTGCTATGTATTAAAAATCGAAAAAAAAATGACGAAAATTCGACTCCGGCGGGACTTGAAAGTTGTCCAGCGTTCCGTACTACCGAGTCATTCGGTTAGAGCAACAGCACGGAATGCTGACGATGCCAGTTCAAGTAATGCCCGGGTAGATTTTTTTTATTTATTTTCGATTTCAATCTATATGGTGCCATCATGTGCAATAACATGTAAAACCACTAAAATTGAACGGATTAAACAGGAAGGCGAATCGTCGATGAAAAATCCTTATTACTACGGCTTAAACACTTGACAAGCTTAATGACCGCGCAAGCAAATGATATCTAATATCTAAGTAATGTAGTTTACGCGAGTAGTAAACAATTCAATAAAACACTTTTAACGGTTTAAAACACGAAATATATTAGTTTACTTATTAAAAGTTGATTTTAACTACGGCCCGGGGTTTCTGATGCTTTGCAGCAGCCGTGGTCACAATTGAAGATGGAGAGTGTTCCTGGTCGCATTGTAAATAAGTTAAGTAGTAAATTTGTTATATTTATATTATAAAGTGTTTTAATTAAATAATATGGTTGTAAATTATTATTCTTTTTGTTTTCTGCATGCAATGTGTATCGTGGAGTTTAATCGCTTTTCGGTTTCCGAATATCCAAAGCCGAAATAGGCCGACAGCGCATCTATTTAAGATGACTGAGACATTCCACCTACCATCAAGTGAGACCCACTTGTCCGTCTTCCACTATCATTAAAAAAATCTTGTGTAAAACTTATATCTATATTTAGATGTCTTTAAACATAAAGGCTTTTGCTACACTTATATGTATCAAGGCATCTAGCGATTGCAGCCCGAGGAATTTGGAAAGTGGCGCGTGTGTGGGCGGGCGAGTCGCCGCCGCCGCGAGACGAATCTTCAACGTCGCAGTTTATTTTATAGCATTTTACTAACCACCATCTTAATTTTATCCCATTATAGATGCCCATCTTTCGCTAGAAACAATTTATTTAGCGACAGGTTGCCTCCGTGTATAACGTAACGCGTTACGCTGGCTCAAAGCTTATTAATTTATCTATGTCACTAAGAACATTTGTTTTTCTATAGAGTCAAGGTTAAATCGCTTGTCTGTTGTTTACATAACTAGTCACGCATTTAAGCAACATTTAACGGTTTAAAACGCGAAATATATAATAAGACGACACTGTATTTAGCTGCAAAGCATCAAATACGTTCGTAATAAAAATAGGTTTAATTAATTTCGCGTAACAACTGTTCCTAGTAACTATTTAATTTCCAGTGTTGCACACATTTAAATAAAACACTTCAAATGTTTAAAACGCGATATATTAGTTAAACTTATTTGAAAATGATTTTTAACTTCGCCCCGACGTTTCGAAAGCTCTGCAGCAGCCGTGGTCACGGGGAGACGCAGAAGGGGAGAAAGTGTTTTATTTATAAGTCCAACATGTTTCAGAAATATTATAAATTGATTAGATTCTTAGATTATACATTGCTACTAATGGACCAACGAACCCGTACAGCGTTTATATATGACCACAGCCTAAGGCTGTATGTGACGTTTGTGTTTCGTCATCGCCGATCGTCGTGTGAGGTGTAAGACCATAATGATGTATGAAGTCGGCCATTATTTTCTCTTATCGATAATGCTTCAGAATCGATTTACTATCTGGTACTTTATGAGTATTAAATGTAAAAAGGAATAATTGAAAAGGTAAAGGTTGTGTGATACTAACGATGTTGATTTTGATAATATCTTTGCGAGTCTCATATACGGCCGGTTCAAGTGGGTTTAAAATAAAAGTGGCTAAGTGCGAGTTGGTTTTTTTGTTGTTGGAAAGTAAAATACCCCAGACATATAGTCGCGATCTAAGATTTATCAATTTTTAACTATTAAAGGGTTTTAAACGCAGAAGCGGGTAGAATAAGAAAATAATAAGTACTGTAGTTTTCGCGATCAATATTACACTTTTAACGGTTTAATTTAGGAAATATATTAGTTAACTTACTTTAACTACAGCCTGTTTATTTCCTTTTAGTTGATATTTATAAAACGAAGGTGGCGCTAGCGTAACAGATTTTACTTTGACATTAAAGGCACCCTCCATCTTCAGATCCCCGCTACCACGACTGTTGCAAAGCATCCGGATAAATTGAGTCTTAGTTAAAATAAATAAAGTATAAGTTAATATTTCGCGTTAACAGAATATTCTTAACTTTTTAATTCCTAACCCACGACGGCGAACACAGAATACCATAATTTGAAATACCGCTTCCTCCATGGGGCAAACACATTCTGGGTCCGTTTCGACATCAATTTACAGTTATTTATTGATTAGACTTCTGTGCCCGTCTCGACCGAAACAGATTAGGATTTAAATGAAGCTAGATCTTGCTAGAGCTTATCTAGACTACTATAATCTAAATAAGACTTAACGAGCAATACCAACTCACTGAAAGCTACAACAAAGACCGATGGGTCGTTAGACTAGACCGGACTCCAAGACAGATTTATTGACAATATCGCTTCAAGAATTTATTAAACTCTGTCCATTGCATCCACATGCGTGAATTGAATTTATAGTTTACTTAAGAATCAGAACATTGTATAAGCTAAAGATCGTGCTAATTAGACTCTTTGAAAACTTGCACATGTTGCTTATGAAGACAGTATACAAGTTAAAAATCTAGTTTGACGTTACGTGTTAGCGTACGTCAATTGGTTAGAGCGGCATACAACGCCATGGGTTCGGGTCCCACTCGAGTCGTAATTTTTGTCAATGTAAATATAATTTTATTTTACTTAAAATCTTTTTAAATTAAATGACTGTGGCGTGATGTATATATCAAGTTTGAAATATATGTATATAAAACTTTGCATTAGTCATAAAATAAACTTTGCTAGATTGTATTGTGCACTAATTGTGGTAATTAAAATTGACTATATAGTTTATACCCGTGGTCTCCCCGGCTGCTGCAAAGCATCCGAAACGTAAATAGTAAGTATATAGATAGTATTTTTAACACCTGATAACTATTAGTTTATATATTATATTATTGTTTATTAGCAATACAAGTTTAACAGCTGTATAGCTATATAGTATAGTCTAGTCTAGACTGTATAGTCTTAAACAATGCCATTATTTCTTGGTCTTACTTAAATAAAGTTATCCTGAATTCGATTAATTTTTCTTATACAAAAATTTAGTGACACGATCGGCATTCAAACCTACGATCATAGTAAACCGAGCTGTTGTTCTACCAATTCAGCTTTTGTGTCCAATTTGTAGATGTAGTTTGTGGTTCGAGTCCCGCTCGTAACAATGTGTTAAATCTTAAAATATAATTAAAATTTAATAATGAGTTTCATGTACTTTAGCTTGTATATGTGCAGTGGGAATTCTCTCCTTTATAAGTAAAATGCATTCGCGCGATTTCCACTTGTTTATGGGTGCTCTAAAATATGGACTGCGTTATCCGTAAGGCAGCATTCGTAATCCGCGAACAAAAGGCTCGCATGTGGCCAATAGTGGCTGGTCCCACGGGTAGCTCGATACTCATCTCTCCGCATTAAACCAGGATTAAATTGGATCTTCCCGGAATTTTTAGGTCAAATGTGCACAAAATTTATTGCGAAGGATTTGACTTCGGGCAGCGGCTTTTATTCTTGAACGGTGCCGACTATAACTAACGATTTATTGAAGGGGCATCGTTAAGAATTGCGAAGTGTAAAGTTTTTTTTATGAGCAGACAGAAAGGTAACAAACGCCAGCCCTGTAACATCTAAACTAGATGCATTGTCGGCCTATTTTTTCTCCGAATTTTTATCATAGAGAAGGACAAACTAGCATTGGAATACACTTGATGGTATGTGAAATACTCCAGCCATATAACGTCTAAACTAGATGTGCTATTGACCTATTTTGGTTTTGAATAATTAGAAATTAAAATAAGACCGAAACGCGATTAAACTTGACAGCTTTTTCATCTGTGGACCGTGATTCGTGACCCTGGAATTTGGATATTTTTACCACCCATTTAGTATCCAGAAGTCCGACATGTTACATAAACATTAAGTACAACAAATTGAAACTTTAGAGCTGATGAGGATGGATCACGACCCGTTGATTATTAGGCCTTGCTACTATTAGACCAACGCACCTGGCACAATCAGCTAGTATATATAATATATATTATGATAATAATAAATCTCTTTATTTGGCATTCATTAGAAGAAGGAATAGAAATAACTGTAATTACAATAAAATAATTAGTACGAAAAGATTTAATTTAATTTGAATAAAAATGACGCCAAACGGGTCTTGCATCAGCATAAGTTGCTATAACACTGATTTTCAGTAATAGTAATAAATTAATGCAATTTATTTATTTGGTGTTCCTTTTGTTCCTTGAATAAATATAAGCGCAATTAAGTGTGATCGGACGTCAGAAGTGTCGAGTATTGTCGGCTTAACCAAACGCATCTGGCTCGATCACTCCATTAACTTAACGAACAGTTGTCTAGATGTCGATCAACGTCTCAATGCCCCGGCCGGGGCTTTATGGGTACAGCACCCACACATTATTATAATTTCCACGAAGCTCATTCAATTGAGTACATATAATTTCGCCTTTGTACTTAAAATCGTTATCTTCGATCATGTGAAGCGATTGTAGTCTAGGAGACAATTACTTTGTTTGCACTGCTGGCAAATTATAAACAAATTTACTTATTTACCTAGGACAAAGCACACGGTTCCTTTTTTATATGTGCTTATAATCTACTTTAACATAAGTATAATATTATTTCAAACTTATGTTTTTTTAATTTCGATTACTCATTAAGAAATATGAGTTTCTTAAATGCAAAGCTATATATAAAGTTATTTTAGCTTCCGTTGCAAAATGGACACATATTGTCCATTTGTTGATCATATGTTATTTCATTATCAATTTAATTAAAAAAATCACTTTTAAGTTTATAAATAATTCAAAAGTAATTCTTAAGATATAATTCAGTATAGAAATGAAAGGCTAAACGCAAAAGTCACCATAACTTATAATTCGATTGACACTGAAGACGCGGTCAAATCCCATAATGTTTACCCAATTAAAACTTTACATATTTCTAAATCCGATGTGAACGCGAGTAACGCCGCGGGGCGCCTCTAGTGACGCGCATGACTTACCTTTTACGGCCGCATTAATCCGGTCCAGGTGATATAGAGTCAACGGCACAGGATCAGTCAACAGCCGCAGTTTGGGCGTCGGACCTCCCTCGTTCTCGTCAAATTTCCCGTCGCTCAAAAAGATCGCAGAGAGCCTCGCCCTAGGCCCAGGCGAGCAGTTCTCCCTCGCGTGAGTTCGCTCCACCGTCAAAGTGGAACCGCTTAAACTCTCCGATCCATCTTGCTTTAGGAATATCGTGAAATCCCCGACCTCCCCTTTTAAAACGCGCCGCAAATATATCGTATAGAGATTAGATCTTTTCTTACGAGCGTCGCGGCCCGATCTGTATTTTCTCACACTCAAAACTTTACCTGTAAAAATAAACTTGGAGTGCGCTATCGCTTCCATCAGCGCCCATTCGTCCTCGACGAGGCTCTCATTGAAATTGCACGGCGGCAGAACGGCTCTGTGTCTCCGATGTGCGGCCGGCCGTTTCTTTACCTTTCCGCGAAGCCTGAACTCGCCTCCGACGATCGCGAGGACGATAAAATAAACAATAACTATCGACGGCCTCATGTCGCAGAATCGCCAGTTAAACACTCGTATGTGCGGTCTGAACAAATGTATCTGTCACATTATGCGCGTTATTTATGCCCCCAGATTCACATAAAGCGGCGGCGACAGTTTATTAAATGGACAAACCGTTGACATCTCACTAACAGAAACTCGTCGAATTGAATGTATAATTTATTGTCGTTTACGTCACTACAGAAGTTCATTCGCTGGCGGAACAATGAAAACGGAGTATTATAAAACCGTGATCGAGGTTTGTTTGTAAACAAACTAATGTATATTTGAGATGGGATAGAACGCGTGCGCGCGCGCTGCCCGCCGTGACTGACTAAAGCCTGTCACGCCTTTCTTCCCATGTGAAATAAGGGAGCACTCTGTATGTAGTCATATTAACGCTTCGTATCAGTTATTTATTGATTAGAACGCTAATTGCGGGTTTCATCTGTTTTATATGAAGATTTATTTACTAGTATTGAAATAAGCCGTCCTATAGGCTTCTTTATCGCTTACACTCACTATTTTTTTATAGTCTACTGTTAAGAGATCAAAAGCCGTAGTACACATTTAAATAAAACACTTTAACGGTTTAAAACGCGATATATAAGTTAAACTTATTGGAAAATTATTTTTAACTTCGGTTCGACGTTTCGGATGTTTGCAGCAGCCGTGGTCACGGGGAAACATCGGGCCGAAGTAAAAATCATTTTCAAATAAGTTTAACTAATATATCGCGTTTTAAACCGCTAAAGTGTTTTATTTATATCATGGATTTATTTAACGTTTTCTAATCCCATTCTTAACAGCCTTTCTTCGTATAAGTGGTTAGAACAGTAAAAAGTACCTTTTTAATTTTTATCTTATCTTCAAATCTTGACGTTAACACACTCCCCAAAAGCAACAATAAAATCCATACAAACGTAAGTATCATAAAATCTAAATTCCCAAAGCTTTCAATAATTATTACTCAAACAGAAATATTAGCAAATAAATCTCTCGTCTCGACGTATTCGTCGATAAAAATGTGCATACAAAATAGAGTGTCATGTGAGTATTATGCTAGATACACGTAACACGAGGGCCCTGCGGTCTGTTTACGATAAAATAATCTTTATTACTATTCATTAGATGTCAAAACGGAATGCACCAGTTCTGTACGTGTCGGAGATAAGTGCGTGGTGCGTTGTATGGATCTTGTGAAAGCTCTCGATGCGTGGGTGAACAAGCTGAGCCGTGGCGCCCGCGAACCGAGTTCAGTTCGCGTTTGGTACAAGCTATAAACTTGCGCGATTTCTTACGAAAATAGATGATCGATAGTTTGTAAGTACACGAGAAAACCAATTTATATTCCCCGGGATCCAAGACCAAGAACCATTTAAAACGCAAACCAACTCCGTCGATTTATTTTTTTTCAAATCATACAACATTCCAACAAAATGCGCTGTCGATTTATTTTGATTTTGGAGATTTGGAAATCATTAGACTCAAATTGAAACGCAAGTCAACTTCAAAATTGTTTCATCTGTGGACGGTAGTTGGTTAGGGCGGTACTGTATTTCCACAATTTCTTTCATATCTAGATTTCTAGCCAAAACAAATTAGAACAGTAACTCTATAACGGTAATACAATCCGTCTCGTTTGCAGTACTTCTATTGTGTCGAGACTAGTCTAATAACTTAAATTAGAGTAGATTGATATCGTTTATCAGTAATAAAAGCCAAACTAAAATACCTTTTTTATGTATTTCACTTTTGTCAATGATGATTATTAAATACTGTGTATGGTAGACGCTCGTGACTTAAACCAAGCGCCAAACTATAGCTTACAAATCTTTCAAGGTGTAATTACAGCACAGCTATACAGCTGATACAGAAATGTTTGGTCCTCAAGATGGGAATGCTGTAGATTATTACTATACTGTAAAACACTAATGGCGAAATCTTGTATCGAATCAAGCGCTGACGGCTCATAATAATTATGTACTAATGTGTTACCGACTATATTATTTTGGCCTTCAGACGTCTGGGACAAAATACTTTATTTCGCCCGATTTCGAATCTAATACCTTAGCGTTTTAACTTTTAATACACCTAAGACATTATATTTTCTACAATATGTTAAAAAATTAAGCATTAAAAAATGTTGTTAAGCTTTCTGAGGGTAGATTTCATTTAATTGTTTTCTTCTAATTACATAAATTTAAACTAAATAGCCGCCTCTCTAATCCAGGAATCAAAACAGGGACCTCGTGACCTGCAGGCAGAAGTATATTCAAATAATACTGACGTACTCGTTGGTATAATGGTAAGTCCACCAGAAACATGTTTAACCAGGTGGCGATCATGAAATGTCGGGCCGTAGTCAAAACAATTTGTAAATAAGTTTAACTAATATATTTCGCATTTAAACCTTTAAAGTGAGCTCGAGTAAACAACAGTACAAACAGTAGATATTTTATATTTCTAATCAATCAAAATTTCTGATTCGGTTTCAGTCTGTGGATTTCCAAATATCCAAAATAGGTCACCTTCCAGTAGACCCCATGATTAGCTGCCCTCCTCTATCTATACATAAATAAATGACCTGCTTTAAACAATAACTTTCCCTTCTACAAGTCGATGTTTAACTCACAGCCTTATAAACAAACCCGTTAATCATTTGCAACATAAAATTGTTAAGTGCAAAATCATAAATAACTACAATGATATGCGCATCCCACACCGCTCCGTAGGAATGATTGCGTTTCGTGCCTTTTGTTCAAATTGTATTCGCATAAAATTAATGGCCGCAATTTAAGTAATGAATACTTACATGTACATACAGTAATTATTCAACTTCTCAAATATATTCATAATTATTGTTTTTAAACCACGACTGCAAAGCGTCCGAAACATCTAACCGTAGTTAAGATAAATTTCGAATAACTTTAACTAATATATATCGCGCTTTAAACCGTTAAAGTGTCTTATTTAAATGTGGACTACAGACAGTGTTTAATTTTATGTGTATTAACTGTAAGAATCTAAAGGTGTGACAATTTATAAAATAAACACTCCTATTTTAAAGGCAAGGAGTTGATTCCTATCTCCAAAGTTTAACTAATATTTCGCGTTTTAAACGGTTAAAATGTTACATTTAATGTTCAATCCGTTTAAATGCTTCCCATTATTCACAACTTGCAAAATAATAATAATACATCATAAATCGCGTTTCATTTCGCGTTTTAAACCGTTTTCTATTCTTTTGAACGTCTCCCACCGTATTCGTCCCATTATTCACTGCTAGCAGTCCCCCGACCTAATCCCGATTAACTGAACGCCGCGCGATATTAAATCACTCTGTCAAAGTACAACAAGCCACTCATTAAACCCGGCCGCTTAAACGCCGATACAACCCCATCGGCGACTAACTTAATTAATACGTCACGGACGAATACGGGATTCGTTAGATTATTTGATGTTAAGTTAAGGAGTTTATTTGTTTGAACGCGCTAATCTCAGGAATGATTAAACGCGAAATATATTAGTTAAACTTATTTTTTATCTAATAAACTACATATTTAAATAAAACTTTCCGTTATTCAATGTGTATTTTATTAGGAAACTTGTTCTTAATATAATTTTACTAAAACCCGAGACACCCGTGACCACGACTACTGCAAATGCTTTGTAGTTAATACTGTCTGTAGTTTAGGTGAGTAGTACACATTTAGATTAAACAGTTTAACGGTTTAAAACGCGATATATATTCTCCCCGTGACCAAGGCTGCTGCAGCATCCGAAACGTCGGGCCGAAGTTAAAATAGTTTTCAAATAAGTTTAATCTATATCGCGTTTCAAAGGATTTGTGATAGTAAAAAGTTACACCGGGTCGTAGTTGAATTAAATTAATAATAAGTTAACTAATACCATCGCGTTTTGAACCGTTACAAGTGTTTTATTTAAATGAGTACTCGTTTATCTACAGCGTACTAAACAAAAATTTAATATAATGCAAAATGCAGCCATTACATCAATCCAGTTAGTACTGAAAGAAAAATAATCCTCGATTCGTTTCCACTGGGCCAGACAGGAAGAGTCCATGTAGAAGCAAAAGCAATTGGTGCAGTTCCATTACAAATAAAGGCAGTACCTTTTGTAAGCCGCTTTCGATCGCGAGCGAAGAGTACAGTTCCCAAATAGAGTGTTTGAAACTGTAACACGGGCATATCGGCTTTTCAATATCCCCTTGATGTTAACTGCTTTTAGATTGACAGAAGTTTTTATTATAGAAGAGGTTACACATGGGGTTCCCTTGATGACCAGACACCATACCAAACCGAAGCGCACCGTTTTGGCTACGGATATACAAATCCATAGACTGCAATCGAAAAGCGATTTAAGTCATTATAAGATGTAAACTTATATTTGTATATGTATGTTTGTAATTAATACATAAAGTGCTATGCCGACTTCAATTTATTTTCATTATTGGATCGCTAGAATGACCGGAAGAAATAATTTAAGTAACTTAGACGACGATATAAAAAAATATGTCCACCAGAGCGACGATATATTTTTGTACCCTAGAAATAACTTATTACTAACATTATAAAACTGAAGACATTTAACACGTTTGGACTTGTAATAATAACTTAAAATCAGAATTAAGTATAGTTCATAGTCTCTCCGTAAGTGATTTCGTAAAATCTTAAGAGAAATAAACGTCTTCAGCCATAAAGCAGAAGAGTTTGTTTGTTTGAATGCGGTAATCTTAGGAACGACTGATTGTTAAAGCATCTATCGGTGGTTATCGGTTATAAAGCTGCAAAAGTTTTCGAACTTATCGGCTTGTATCGGCAGTCACAGGGAGGGCTGCTGCAGTGCTTCCGAAACGTCGGACCGTAGTTAAAAATAATCAAAAAGTTTTACTAATATATATCGCGTTTGAAACCGTTAAACTTGTATTTTTAATGATTTAAAGAGTGCTAAACGAATTGATTTAACATCTAATCAGAGAGGCGTCT